AACAACATTGGACTCCACTCTAACAATGTTCCAATGAATTCATATATCCTCTATCTTATACTTTTTAAATCTGTTTGTACAATATCTTCTTTTATTCTTAATAGGCCGTAATTAATTTTATTATCAAGAAACGATGTTAATATTTTAAATTAACTAAAATTAACCTCAATAAAATTAACATGTTTTTCAAACTATTGTGCATTATTTGTGTGTGTGTGTGTGTGTGTGTGTGTGCATGTTATTTTTTTTTATATGATAACAATATATATCATTTATTATATATATTGTATTTAAATATTTTGATTTGTTAAATAAAATAAAACAAATAAATTGTTTCTAACAACAATAACAATGATAACTTTTATGAATTTTTATTGAATTACATGAAATCAAATGAGAATGATTTTGATATTCATGTAATAATAATATTAGTATGGTGGTTTGATTTAAATAATTGTTTTTAGAAATTTTGATTATCTTGTCTTATACTTTACACTATTTTAAACTTGATTATGATTGAAGTTTTAAAAATAGTTTTCATGTAATTGTTATGCCATTACATTTTCATCATTGAAACTTAAAATTATAAGATGGCGGATATGCATAATTCCCAAATGTGCCAATTCCAAATTACCCTTTTTAAGCTATTAATTTGTAATAACGATTACTAAATTATGTACATTATTAAGTGTTCGTTCAAAATTAAAAAAAAAAAACGGATTTAATAAAGCAACATGATATAATTAATAGCAATAATAATAATTATGAATATTTTTGAACTTACTGTGAATGTTAAAATGGCTGCACTATGATAAAATATTAACGAATTCAAACATTTACGAATTTCAAAATTATTTGTTAACTGTAAAACACCTAGACAGTAGAGCGAAATATAAAGTAACATTTTACATATTTATCACAATTTTATTACATTAAATCGACATTTATAATGTTTTTTACGTGAATAATAAATTTAGTAAAATCGCGCAAAACTTGGAGCTTGGAACAAACTTAAAAGGAAACGGAAATGCGAATTTGAATTTTATAACTACTTTAGGTAAATTAGTAACTTTTAAAAAGTGATTTATTGAGATTTTTGTGGTTTTTTTCTTATAATACTAGAATTAAAAACAGAAAAAATTATTTTTTTAATTAAAGTAATGAGATAATAATTTTAATATTTGCATAATTTGCTGAAAATAAATAAATTCAACAACTTGTTAAACCTGTTGTTTCTAGAATGAGTCTCAGGAAATCTACTAGAGAAATTAAAACTACGAATAAGAAACCTACGACGGAAAAGCAAGAAAGAAAATGGAAAGAAAAAGAAATAGCAGCTTATTTAAAATGTATTATGGAACATGGTCACAAAAATCTTTCTAAGTTAGAAGAGAAATTTCCAAATAAAGATAGGGAAACTATCAAGTGCTTTTTAAGAACTGCCTTCGACTGGAGTAACAAATTAGAACCTGGAGATCCTTCACTGGATGCTTGGATTAATCATACGACGATTGTTAACGAAACGACGCCTTGGAAAGATTCATTACAAATAGCCAGAGTATTAAAATATCTATCTGTTGATGGGTTACTAGAAAATCATCCTTTGCCCTCACAATGTCAAGGAATCAATTTCTCGTAAGATATAATTATTAGTTACAGTCTTTTTTAATACTTGTTTTCTTAAAATTAAAATTAATTGTAATTTAATTCTTATTAAAAATTACAGTGAAGCTTATAGACTCATTTATCAGGCACTAATGGGTTATCCAATACAACCAGTAAACGAAGAAACAGCTGAATTTGTTTTAAATACATTTTCAGAGTTAGTTGGAGAGGTTAGAAAAGAAACAGATTGTAGATCGAATGTAAAAGAATATTTAAAATCAAAAATTTTTAATGATTCAAATAGTGAAATAAATAAAATACTAAATAATTCAAATGACGATGAATCGATAACAGAAAATAGTAATTTTAAAAAACCTTTGAAAGTATATCAAAGAAAAAAACCCAAATTATCGAATACAAATAAAGAGCCAAAACTGGAAATTATAGTCGAACCTAACAGTCAACAAAGTTTAAATTGTGGAACAAAAGATTTTTCTGTTAGAATAAATGAAAATAATGAAGGAAGCAATGAAACAGTTATAAATGTTCCAGTTCCAGTTAAAATGATTAATAATAATTGTCCTGTAAGTTGCATTAAAATATATTTTTATTGAATTTGAAAACTATGTTTTTCGATAGTTTACCTCTGCCATTTTCTTCAATTAGTAATAGATTATTGTCAAGTGTGTGAAAGTTAATCGAATTTAACTAAAATTTAAAAAATTTTTTTTCAGGGAAAAGAAGAACAAGAATTGTTACAAAGTCCATCATATAATCCGTTTAAAATTCCATCAAAATGGTTGCAAGAACCATTTTATATAAATTTATTGGATAAAAATCCAAAATATTGATGAAACTGATATAAAAAGTAGCATTCTTTATATTCCATTCGAATAAAGTACTTTTCTTTTTTTTTCAAATTCAAATTGATTTAATGATGAATTACTTTTAAAATGGAGACTCAAATTTCATGTTCAATATTTACAATTATCTAAATTAAATATAAAAATTAAATAAAATTGGTTTGGTAACAATATGAAAATTTAAAAGTAAACATAAACATCTCAATTTTTATATTAAAATATAATTATGGGTTTAAGTGAAACGGATAAAATAGTGAATCGTTCTAAAAGCGGAGTAGAATGTCAACATTTGGGAGGAATTAATTCGAGTTGTCTTTCAAGATCAGAAGTATCAGAAGATATTACAGTAAGATTTTTTTTAAAATATAAATTATTATTATTATTAATGACTAAAAATAAATTTAGTTTAATGTAAATATTTCAACTTTGATGATGTACATGTTTTATTTTTTTTTTATTTTTTTTTTTTAGCCTAATGAAATACCTGCCATTATACCTTGCTACAATGGTAAAACGTTAAAAATACACGAAGAATTGGTTTTAAACGGTTTATGTGCTATATCGATAAAACATTTTAATGGTAAATGCAAAGATGACAGAAGAGGTAGCGAAGATTTTACAAGACGTAAAAAAAGTAAAGCATACGAAGATAAAGAAAATGATAATCGTTCTGGAGTATTGAAAGAAATACACGCACCTGAAAAACCCATGACGAACGATGTACCTGATTGTTTAAAAGGAAAAATGAAAGTACGAATTTTGTTTCGTTTTCTTAAATTTTTAATTAATTATTTTATTTTTATCCAATGATTATTTTTTCTTATAATAATATATAGAGACGTAATTCTTTTTGGAACGTTCACCGGCCTGAATTATCAAAATTAACATGGCCAGAAAATTATGTGTCATCGGCTGTTCTTCAAGATTTTTTTCACGATCATTTGAGGATACACGGTATGTTTTGTGAGCCTCTTCATGAATTTCCAAAGAGATGTTCGATTATGGATGAAGAATTCCGAGATTATAGCAAGTTAAGGTCTGTAGATGTGCTGTTAAACTTTGGTTCAAGCCTTATAACGATTCGTTTCGGTTTTTTTTTTTTTTTTTTTTTAAATGAAAAATAATTGCGGAACCAATGGGATTAACAAGCATTTCTATATAAAAACAAATCAACAACAACAAATACGATAGTATCGATTTTGGGTTTCCCCGTTTTTTTTTTTTTTTTAAAAAAACAAAAAATTGATAAATTTTCTTACAGAGAAATCGTCCCACCGAGAATTCTCCCCCCAGACGAAAAAGTCGTAAATATAACGGAAAAAGGAAGATCCGTACAACTCAACGACGAAGATTTAAATCCGGAAACACAAGTTCATAAATCCAGAGCGGAATTTTGCGTCACCATAGGGGAATACGTACGAAGGCCCCCAATGAAAACAACGTCGCAAGTATTGCCCAAATGCGCCGTACAACCCGCGACGAATCGTTTCGAATCCCTAACGAATCACCACGATAATTTTCGTTCGAAAGAAGCCATGATATCGGAAGAAAAAATATCAGCGGTGATTGGAAGTACAGGTGACGTATGTGTTGAAATTTATTTATCATCCGTTTATTTACGGATTACGCGAAACGAATACAAATGATTATGATTCAAATTATAGATTTTTACGTGAAAACGGGATCCGGTAATAAAAGTTCGAAAAAATCACATACGGGAATATTGAAAAGTTTTAGCTTTAACAAAGTTAACAAAAGATTTAACAACAGGAGTTCTACGACGCCTCCTCCTTTTAACGATCGAATTCAATCGAATTGGCAAGGGATCGAAGAATCCATTGATGGAGTGACATAATAAAAACCAAAATGATTTTTTTTAAATTCATTCACTGGTAATGGCAAAATAACATTTTAAAATATATACGTATACACGCGTACGTAATATATTGTTACAAACCAATAATAAAAAATTTCGTACTCATTACCCCCCGCCCCCCGCCCCCGGTTTTTTTTTTTAACGTAACAAAAACTAGGAATAGTATAAATAACAGAATTTTTTTTTTCAGAATAATAAATATAATATATATATATATATTTAAATCGATACAATGACATAATAAAAAAAAATGTATATATATATATATATATTTATAATAAACAATATATATAATATAATATAATATGGCCGTAATAAGAAATCAGTCGTCGTAAATTTCGTGCTTTTTTTTAAGAAATAATAATAATAATTAAAAATTTTACGGTTAACAACAATTTAAATGCGAATATTAATAATAATAGTAGTAGTATTCGCACACAGAAATAATTATAATATTAATTTTATTTAAATTTATATATATATATATATTTTTTTTTAATGAAATTTAAAAACATTTATTTCCGTTAATTTATGAAAGAGAAAAAAAAATGAAAGTTATATTAATAAATATTTAAAATAATCAAAAATTTCGCGTTCATCAATCAAAAAAAATTTTTTTTTTTTTGTTCGTTAAACTATAAAAAATATATATATATATATATATATATATATATATATTATATTGACTTTCGTTATATTATACCCGTACGTGATACGTTCGTCGTTTATTATATTAAGTGTAATAGTTTAGTCGTTTTTTTTATAAGACAAAAAAAAAAAAATTTAAACGTTTAATAATTGTCATGACATCGAAAGCAAAAATTATTAATTATATATTATTCATCGTAAAGGCAAAAAAAGGACACGTAATAATGATAATGATAATAATAAGATAATCACATTTCACGTGCAAATCTATGCTATACTTTTTTTGTGAAATATACGCATACGCTGTAATAATAATTTTAAATAATTTATCGAGTGTGTAGTAAATTTTACGAGTTGTTTCATCTCAAAATGTTGAATTTTATCGAAGAGAAATGAAAAAGATAGAAAGTGAAAGATTATGGTGTCATTAAGAAATAATAATAATAATATTTAAAAATGGTTTCCGTTTTTACCGACGAAAATGGAAGGAAACGTGGCCGGTCGATTATATACTTCGATATGTAAAGACAACGATAGTGATTCGTGGTTGTTAGTGTAACGTTTGAAGAAAAAAAAAAGTGAAGTGCAAACAGACAGACAGAGTTTTATGAGATCACAAATGTTTAAGAAAAAATTCAATGAGATTAAATATTATTAAAAAATGTTTTCGAACCCAATCGATTTGTTCGTTCAATCGCAAGAAGCTTCGCCGAATGGAAGGTCATCGGTTTTACCGGAATCGTCGTCGCCGAAAAATCCAGACTCTATGTGAGCCCACGATTGTTCTTCTCCACTTGCAAATATACCGTAAAAAATGGCTCCGACGAGATAGATAGCAGAGGAAATGTAAAAAACAACTTGCCACTCTTCTTGAGTCTGCAAAAAATCGGTTTTAAACATCTAATCTCTGCTGATACATGGAAAAATTTCTTCAAAGTTTTAAAAAACGTTACCTTGTGTTGAACCAAATGTCCGGTGACAACTGGACTAAACATTCCAGGTAGCGTAGCAAAAGTGTTGGATATACCCATCAGAATACTCGCGTAAGGCGGAGCTATATCCAAGTGGTTAACTCTGACGTGCGAAAAAAATTTAAAAAATTTTTAAAAACCGACGTGGAAATATGAGGATGTTAATATTTTCATTTCGTAAATCTCTCACCCGAAACCGGACCATGCGAAACCGCCAAATCCGACGGCAGCAGTCAAACAAACGACCAAAGTCAAAGGTGAAGTTGAATGAGCGGCAATCAAAAGAAAAATGGTTTGAAGAACGAATCCGGTGCAGTTAAACAATTTTCGTACCTGTAATTAATAAATTCGATGATAGAACGAAGGAAACGAGAATGTGCTCATATCGCACCCGTGAAAGTTTACGGTGCTTGCTTACTCTGCTCGTAGATAACATCCCCCTCGATCGAAGTCTGTCAGCTAAATAACCACCGAGTACGACAAAAATGCCCATTGCTAAGTAAGGCAAAGCAATCAACAATCCTGATTTGTGGAGATCGTATCCGAAAACATCTAAAAAAACAACAAAAAATTATCAACCACGTGGTGTACTCTACAATTATTGTATTATTTCATTTTAATTACCTTTCATAAATGTTGGCAACTCTGTTAGCAAAGTGTAAAAACCCCAATTTTCGCTGAAATGTGCAATAACAATGGCCCAAACCGGATACGATAATAGCATTCGTTTCCAAGGAATCGGCGAATACTAACAGAAAAAAAAAAAAACCGACATAAGAAAAAATTAAATTCAAAAAAAAAAAAAAAAGAAAATTTGTGTTCCCGAGGGATTTCCCATCACCGAATATCAGATAATTACCACCTTCATGTACGGATATTGGCATCTAAGTGTTGACCTTATGTAACAAAGTTCATCTTCGGAGATTCTCGTGTCGTTTTGAGGTTTGTCTTTGATATACAAAAACCACAATACGGACCATCCGTAAGCTATCGCTCCTGTTAACACAAATTCCAAACAATAAGGAAAAAAAAAAATTTTTTAATTTTAAAAACATCGACATCATTAGAAAAAAGGAAAACGAACCAGAAAAATAAAATATCGAAGGCCAGCCTAAATAATCAGCAAGAAAACCGGATGTGGGTAAAGCAACGACGGTTCCAATGTAACAACCAGAAATGGATATCATAGCCAACTTGCTTCTCTCCAACGGTGGCGCCCATCTAGACCACATAGCGTGCATTGCTGGATAAGTGACTCCTTCGAATAAACCTTCCACGACTCTTGCAGCCACCAATAAATAAAGACTGTATTTTGTAAATAATGGCGTTAGAAGAGTGAAAAGGCTGGTAACTGCAATTCCGACACCGAATAACCTTTGAGGAAAAATTTACGTTAAAATCATAAAAATTCAACGAAAAAAAAAAAGAGTATTTGATGATGGAACTTTGGAGTTACTATTCACCTTTTACCACCATAAGCTGCTGCCAAATAACCACCGGGAAGTTGTGTTAAAATATAACCGTAAAAAAAAGAACTAAGTATGACACCTTGAACGTCGGTACTCCAATCATATTCTGCTGGCTAAAACAAAATTTCTAAAATTTTTTTTCTATTCATTCGAAATCACATCGTGAAGAATATTAACACCACCTACCAGAACATAGGTACCAGTTTCATTCGTCACCGTTTTATTAGTGGTCATGGCAACAATGGCAACGGATAAGTTAACTCTCATGGCATAAACATTGCAAAATCCAAGAAATGCCATAAGAGCCACCACATACCTTCTAGGATAGTACCATCTGTTAAAACAAAAACCAACGTTATCATTAATCCCGTAAGAAAATAAAACAAGACATTTAAAACCGAAAAATTATTAATAATAATAATGCTAAAAATGTAAAAATTAATAATAATAATAATAATACCTTGATGTTAATTGAGGTGCCGTATTTAGAACGGATTTTTTAATAGCCGTACGTTCAGATGGGGTATCATCATTTCCATTGGATATTTCAGACATTATTTATTTATTTAAAAAAAAAAAAACAAAAAAAATATTCACCCTGAAACAACCCCCAAAAAAAAATTAAAATATTTTCATTGTACCATATGGTGGGAGAGGTTTTCATCAAGTAAATACCTTTTCCCAAGAAAATTATTCACATATTTTTTTTTTTTTTTAAAAAAATTTCCCCATTTTTTTTTTTTTTTTTTTTTTTTTAAATACAAACTGTTATCAGTTATCCTCTCATATATTGACCTCTTATCACGATAATATTAAAACCTTTGATATATATATATATTATAAATAATTTTTTCTACTTAACCGCCAATGTTAAAATAAACTTGTTGCTAAAAGTAAGGAAGGCGTTTTTTTTTTTTTTTTTTACTAAGAGTTTGCGCGAAAGTTTTATATCGATTTATAAACTACGACGACATTAAAAAAAAATTTTTTTTAAAAAAAAAAAAAAAAAAAAATTAATTGTAAAGGTCATCAATATCGATTATATGATTTAAATGAAAAGGTCACGGAGGTTGTGCAACAGAGATGAATATGTATAATTTCACATAAAAAAATTTTTTTTTAATTGTTTTATTTTAATTAAAATTTTACTTATTTATTTATTAATTAAAATTTTATCAGACTTTTTGATTCTCTTGCAAGAAGTAACAACAAAATCAAAAAAAAAAAAAATTATCAATCGATCATTAATCAATCAAACAACATTTTTTTTATTATTATATTTTTTGTAACGATTAACTTATCAAGACTTGAACAATAATAATATTTTTATCATTATTAATTATGAAAGTAATTTTTAATTAATAATTAACATCAGATGAAATTTAAAAAGGGCCATAAATATGAAATTTTAATAATTATATTAAATAACTTGGCAAGAAGTTTGGTTCGAGTTTGACTTTTTGAAGAGAGAAAAAAAAAAGAAAAACTTATGAAAATATTTTTTTTAAAAATAAAATACATAGTTATTTATTATATATAAATTTACTTTGATTGTAAATTTGTGAATCTATAAAGTTAACAAGTTATAGGGAAAAATTTTAAAAATACATATAAAAGTCACATAAGTTTATCGAATACTTTGTAAGTTTTTTTTTTCCCCCCCTTATTATATAATTTAATAATGATTTTAATTTTGATTAACTAATTTTAATTGTATAAATTATAATAGGAAACATTTCTTTTATACCTTAAATTATTATAACAAAAATTAAACTTACCCATTTTTATTAATAATAGTTTTCTCAAAGCTTTGTTAACGACTTAACAACAAATTTTACATCATTTATTTCTTCACACGAGTGTTTGATAAGTATTAATAGGCTTCTCAATAATTTTTCTTTTTTTTTTTTTTTTAATACCTAAAGAAAAATTAATTAATTAATAAAAATCAGTTGTTAATAGTAAAGCACATGAGTAAAATTATTGTGTACTATTTAAATAAAACAATTTTTTATTACATACTATAAAATGCAAGTAATAATAAATTGATACAGTGATATATGAATAAAGATTACATATTTATCTAGTGATAAATGTTTTAAAGTATATATATATTTCATTTTTTTTTATTTATTAATATTAAAAGTAATTTATTACTTTAAAAAGAATTTTGAATAAATTTTAAGTCTATGATTTCGAAATATGGATTATTCACTACTTACATACTTTTAAATGTCAATTAAAAAAAAAAAAAAAGTATTCAAAGTTTAGATTGAACTAATTAAAAAGTTTTATAATTTTTTAAACATGTACTCATGTTAAAATTTAAAAAGTTTACAATATTTTTATAACGTGACAAAGTCAAAATCATAGTAATTCAATAATAAAATTTAAACACTTTACCTTTTTGACATTTAGAACGCCGACATTTTTTTTTTTTTTATCCAGTTAATTCTAAATACACGTCATATAAAAATGGTGGAAACTTACCGCGTAATTTTCTAGAACATTCTTATTTTTGTAAATGGAAGATTTTGATGGAGTCTTGTGGATATTAAAAAACGAAATTGGTTTAAGGTAACTCTTTATCGTTTAATTATTATTAATACTTATACCGAAATTCATCTTTTATTACATTTTTTACTTATTTCTCATTTGAAAATCTGAATTTTTTTACATGGATCAAAAATGTTTGATACCATTTATAAATGCATGTAAAATTTAAAATAAAAAGAGAATACTTAATAGTCTTATGAATTTCTATATTGTAATTTAAAAAAAAGAAATGTCAGTCATTCAAAATGTTTTTTATACAAACTAAACATGCAACATCATAAAATTAGTAATTTTATTGCACTTTGCATTATTGCACTTGGCATTTTTGCATATGAATTAGTATTAAAAGAATCAAAGAAAAACTTTACTCATTCTTTGTTCTTAATCAATATTATTATTGAAATAACATTAATAGCTTAAAACATATTTCATTGATTTATTAACTTGTTATTAAAACTTGTTATGGAACATTTATATAAGAAAATAACATAACTTGTTACCAAAACATGTTATAGGAACATATCAGATAAAATATGTTTTGTTTTTTGTTTCAAATTTTTCATAGAAAATTATTTATGTATTTATCAAAATGAAATTTTTATGTATTCTTATACTATTTACAAATTTTTTTCATGAAATGATGCATTTTACAATGTGTTATTAAAACATAAAAATTAGTGTCAAACAGTAAAAACATTAAGGTATAAACAACATAATGCTACACATTAACAATGTGTAACATTATGATAATTATTATGACAATTAATTAATGTAACATTACATTACAACATAATGTTCTTCCATGTAAACTTTTGTAACAAAAAATTAATTAATATTATTAAAATAAGTATCACTATTGCAGTCAGATTATAATAATAAGTTTTTGCCATAAGTAATTAACTTTATTCATGTAATTATAAAACATTAATAATTAGTAGTCCCTGTTTTGTCATACAAAATGCATTTTAAGAAATCATTTTTATAAAATTTATTTAAATAATATTTTATGCTTATTGTTAATAATTATTAATAATAAATGATTGTAAAGAAATCAATTAAGAAAATCTTTTTATGTAACAAAAAAAATTAATTATTGTTTTAGTTTTATTGATATTTATTTATTATTAAATTTAACACATAAAGATAATGAAAGCAAAAATGTTTTATTTAGTTTTATTAATTTACTTTTTATTTTTTTCAAAATTAAACATTTAAAAGATTTTATTATTATTATTAATCAATACCAATGAGATACTTATTTAAAAAACAAAAAAATCAAATTAAAATTTTTTTTTTGTTAAAAAGAAACCATTTTGTATATAAATTAACATCAAAAAAAAAAAAAGGAAATTTATTATTTACTTTTTCACTTAAATTAAAATTTAACTTTTTTGTTAAATAAATAATAATTTGAATGAGATTTAAATACTCATGACAAATGAAAAAAAAAAAAAAAACTTTTGTTAATATTTATCCAAAAAAAAATGTAATAATTACAAAACAGGGACAATTGTTAGTAGGGAAAAAAATTAGTTCACAGTTTGATTTATAGATGTCAGTAATTTGTTTTGTTTAAAAATAATAATTTATTTACTCTATGCCTTTTGTAT